CTCTGGGTGAAAAGTATATGGGTGAAAAGTATGTGCAAGAAGAGTTTCTGGGTGAAGAGTCTCTGGGTGAAAAGTATATGGGCGAAAAGTATGTGCAAGAAGAGTTTCTGGGTGAAGAGTCTCTGGGTGAAGAGATCTGCTTGGGTGAAAATTTAATATGGGTGAAAAGGTATCTGGGTGAAAAGCATGTGCACGAAGAGTTTCTGGGTGAAAAGTATGTGCAGGAAGAGTTTCTGGGTGAAGAGTCTCTGGGTGAAAAGTATATGGGAGAAAAGTATGTGCAAGAAGAGTTTCTGGGTGAAGAGTCTCTGGGTGAAAAGTATATGGGTGAAAAGTATGTGCAAGAAGAGTTTCTGGGTGAAGAGTCTCTGGGTGAAAAGTATATGGGTGAAAAGTCTGTGCAAGAAGAGTTTCTGGGTGAAGAGTCTCTGGGTGAAAAGTCTATGGGTGAAAAGTATGTGCAAGAAGAGTTTCTGGGTGAAGAGTCTCTGGGTGAAAAGTATGTGAAAGAAGAGTTTTTGGCTGAAAAGTATGTGCAAGAAGAGTTTCTGGGTGAAGAGTCTCTGGGTTTAAAGTAAATGGGTAAACAGCATGTGCAAGAAGAGGTTCTGGGTGAAGAGTCTCTGTGTGAAAAGTATATGGGTGAAAAGTATGTGCAAGAAGAGTCTCTGGGTGAAGAGTCTCTGGGTGAAAAGTATATGGGTGAAAAGCATGTGCACGAAGAGTTTCTGGGTGAAGAGTCTCTGTGTGAAAAGTATGTGCAAGAAGAGTTTCTGGGTGAAGAGTCTCTGGGTGAAAAGTATATGGGTGAAAAGCATGTGCACGAAGAGTTTCTGGGTGAAAAGTATGTGCAAGAAGAGTTTCTGGGTGAAGAGTCTCTGGGTGTAAAGTGTATTGGTGAAAAGTATGTGCAAGAAGAGTTTCTGGGTGAAGAATCTCTGGGTGAAAAGTATATGGGTGAAAAGTACGTGCAAGAAGAGTTTCTGGGTAAAGAGTCTCTGGGTGAAAAATCTATGCAAGAAGAGTTTATGGGTGAAGAGTCTCTGGGTGAAGAGTCTCTGGGTGAAATATATATGGGTGAAAAGTATGTGCAAGGAGAGTTTCTGGGTGAAAAGTATATGGGTGAAAAGTATGTGCAAGAAGGGTTTCTGGGTGAAGAGTCTGTGGGTGAAAAGTATATGGGCGAAAAGTATGTGTAATAAGAGTTTTTGGGTGAAGAGTCTCTGGGTGAAAAGTATATGGGTGAAAAGAATGTGCAAGAAAGTTTCTGGGTGAAGAGTCTCTGGGTGAAAAGTATGTGGGTGAAAAGTATGTGTAATAAGAGTTTTTGGGTGAAGAGTCTCTGGGTGAAAAGTATATGGGTGAAAAGTATGTGCAAGAAAGTTTCTGGGTGAAGAGTCTCTGGGTGAAAAGTATAAGTATATGGGCGAAAAGTATGTGCAAGAAGAGTTTCTGGGTGAAAAGTCTCTGGGTGAAAAGTATATGGGTGAAAAGCATGTGCACGAAGAGTTTCTGGGTGAAAAGTATGTGCAAGAAGAGTTTCTGGGTGAAGAGTCTCTGGATGAAAAGTATATGGGTGAAAAGTATGTGCAAGAAGAGTTTCTGGGTGAAAAGTATGTGCAAGAAGGGTTTCTGGGTGAAGAGTCTGTGGGTGAAAGTCTATGGGTGAAAAGTATGTGCAAGAAGAGTTTCTGGGTGAAGAGTCTCTGGGTGAAAAGTATATGGGTGCAAAGTATGTGCAAGAAGGGTTTTTGGGTGAAGAGTCTGTGGGTGAAAGTCTATGGGTGAAAAGCATGTGCACGAAGAGTTTCCTGGTGAAAAGTATGTGCAAGAAGAGTTTCTGGGTGAAGAGTCTCTGGATGAAAAGTATATGGGTGAACAGTATGTGCCAGAAGGGTTTCTGGGTGAAAAGTATGTGAAAGAAGAGTTTCTGGTTGAAAAGTATGTGCAAGAAGAGTTTCTGGGTGAAAAGTATGTGAAAGAAGAGTTTCTGGTTGAAAAGTATGTGCAAGAAGAGTTTCTGGGTGAAGAGTCCCTGGATGAAATGCATATGGGTGAAAAGTATGTGCAAGAAGAGTTTCTGGGTGAAGAGTCTGTGGGTGAAAAGTATATGGGTGAAAAGTATGTGCAAGAAGGGTTTCTGGGTGAAAAGTATGTGAAAGAAGAGTTTCTGGTTGAAAAGTATGTGCAAGAAGAGTTTCTGGGTGAAGAGTCTCTGGGTGAAAAGTAGATGGGTGAAACGTATGTGCAAGAAGAGTTTCTGGGTGAAGAGTATCTGGGTGAAAAGTACATGGGTGAAAAGTATGTGCCAGAAGGGTTTCTGGGTGAAAAGTATGTGAAAGAAGAGTTTCTGGTTGGAAAGTATGTGCAAGAAGAGTTTCTGGGTGAAGAGTCTCTGGGTGAAAAGTATATGGGTGAAAAGTATGTGCAAGAAGAGTTTCTGGGTGAAGAGTCTCTGGGTGAAAAGTAATATAGTATATGGGTGAAAAGTATGTGCAAGAGGGTTTCTGGGTGAAAAGTAATGTGCAAGAATAGTTTCTGTTGAATAGTAAGGTGCAAGAAGAGTTTCTGGGTGAAGAGTTTCTGAGTAAAAAGTATATGGGTGAAAAGCCTGTGCAAGAAGAGATTCTGGGTGAAGAGTCTCTGGGTGAAAATTATATGGGTAAAAAGTACGTGCAAGAAGAGTTTCTGGGTGAAGAGTGCTTGGGTGAAAAGTATGTGCAAGAAGAGTTTCTGGGTGAAGAGTCTCTGGGTGAAAAGTATGTGCAAGAAGGGTTTCTGGGTGAAGAGTCTCTGGGTGAAAAGTATATGGGTGAAAAGTATGTGCAAAAAGAGTTTCTGGGTGAAGAGTTTCTGGGTGAAGTATCGGGGGCGAAAATTCAAAATGTGTAATAAGAGTTTTTTTGGTGAAGATTCCTCTGTGTGAAAAGTAAATATGGGTGCAAAATAATGTGCAATAAAGTTTCTGGTGAAAGAAGTCTCTGTGAAAAGTATGTGGGTGAAAAGTATGTAGTCTAAGAGTTTTTTGGGGTGGAAGAGTCCTCTGGGTGAAAAAGTTATATGGGTGAAAGTCTTGTGCAGAAAGTTTCTGGGTGAAGAGAAAAAAAAAAAGTCTCTGGGTGAAAAGTTATGGGTGAAAAAGTATGTGGCAGAAGAGAAGAGTCTATGGTTGAGAGTCCTCTGGATGAAATAGAATGGGTGAAAGTATGTGCAAGAAGAGTTTCTGGGTGAAGAGTATCTGGGTGAAAAGTATATGGGTGAACAGTATGTGCCAGAAGGGTTTCTGGGTGAAAAGTGCGTGAAAGAAGAGTTTCTGGTTGAAAAGTATGTGCAAGAAGAGTTTCTGGGTGAAGAGTATTTGGGTGAAAAGTCTATGGGTGAAAAGTATGTGCAAGAAGAGTTTCTGGGTGAAAAGTCTCTGGGTGAAAAGTATACGGGCGAAAAAGTATGTGCAAGAAGGGTTTCTGGGTGAAGAGTCTGTGGGTGAAAGTCTATGGGTGAAAAGCATGTGCACGAAGAGTTTCCTGGTGAAAAGTATGTGCAAGAAGAGTTTCTGGGTGAAGAGTCTCTGGATGAAAAGTATATGGGTGAAAAGTATGTGCAAGAAGAGTTTCTGGGTGAAGAGTATCTGGGTGAAAAGTATATGGGTGAAAAGTGTGTGCAAGAAGGGTTTCTGGGTGAAAAGTATGTGAAAGAAGAGTTTCTGGTTGAAAAGTATGTGCAAGAAGAGTTTCTGGGTGAAGAGTCCCTGGATGAAATGCATATGGGTGAAAAGTATGTGCAAGAAGAGTTTCTGGGTGAAGAGTATGTGGGTGAAAAGTATATGGGTGAAAAGCATGTGCAAGAAGGGGGTTTTCTGGGTGAACAGTATGTGAAAGAAGAGTTTCTGGTTGAAAAGTATGTGCAAGAAGAGTCTATGGGTGAAGAGTCTCTGGATGAAAAGTATATGGGTGAAAAGTATGTGCAAGAAGAGTTTCTGGGTGAAGAGTATCTGGGTGAAAAGTATATGGGTGAAGAGTCTCTGCGTGAAAAGTATATGGGTGAAAAGTATGTGCCAGAAGAGTCTCTGGGTGAAAAGTCTGTGCAATAAGAGTTTCTGGGTGAAGAGTCTCTGGGTGAAACGTATATGGGTGAAAAGTATGTGCAAGAAGAGTTTCTTGGTGAAGAGTCTATGGGTGAAAAGTATGTGGGTGAAAAGTATTTGTAAGAAGAGTTTCTGGGCGAAGAGTCTCTGGATGAAAAGTATATGGGTGAAAAGTATGTGCAAGAAGAGTTTCTGGGTGAAAAGTCTGTGCAAGAAGAGTTTCTGGGTGAAGAGTCTCTTGGTGAAAAGTATATGGGTTGAAAAGTATGTGCAAGAAGGGTTTCTGGGTGAAGAGTCTCTGGGTGAAAAGTATATGGGGTGAACAGTAGTGGCCAGAAGGGTTTTCTGGGTGAAAATTGCGTGAAAGAAGAGTTTCTGGTTGAAAAGTATGTGCAAGAAGAGTTTCTGGGTGAAGAGTATTTGGGTGAAAAGTATATGGGTGAAAAGTATGTGCAAGAAGAGTTTCTGGGTGAAGAGTCTCTGGATGAAAAGTATATGGTGAAAAGTATGTGCAAGAAGAGTTTCTGGGTGAAGAGTATTTGGGTGAAAAGTATATGGGTGAAAAGTATGTGCAAGAAGGGTTTCTGGGTGAAAAGTATGTGAAAGAAGAGTTTCTGGTTGAAAAGTATGTGCAAGAAGAGTTTCTGGGTGAAGAGTCTCTGGATGAAAAGTATATGGGTGAAAAGTATGTGCAAGAAGAGTTTCTGGGTGAAGAGTCTCTGGGTGTAAAGTGTATTGGTGAAAAGTATGTGCAAGAAGGGTTTGTGGGTGAAGAGTCTCTGGGTGAAAAATATTGGAGAACATAGGGATAGATGGGATGCTGGCTCTCGTTCCCCCCTTCTCAGGTAGTATTTGAGCCAAAGTCAGTTCACTAAGAACAGTACTCCTGGCTGAATCTTGTCAAAGACCCGGCTAGGTGGCCAAGTAGCTCGGCTGTTGGACCCGCCTCTTGTCAGCGATGACGTTGTGCAAGTAGCCGACGCCTCAGAGTGACCATGGCAACCGATGGCAACTGTTTGCACTGTAACAGTGTAGTATGCAACAATATACTAGTAGAACTGTTTACATTTGTTTACCATATAGAACTGTTTGCAATCATATTTTCTTCCTTATTCTAACTGTTTGCATCGAACTACGACTTTTTGGCTCGCCGCAAAGGCCTTGATATTGGACCACTCCCGTCCTGTAGTCCATGAGGGTCTCTGTCAGCTGTTACGTACCTGCTGGTACTGAGTCAATTGCCAAGTCGGAAGGAGGCATTGCCTGACAGGATTTCCACATCCAATAAATGTACCAAAAGAATCCAAAAGATATTAAAAAACAAATAAAAACAATGAAAATAAATGAAATACAGAATGTGAACAGTGGGTGCGCTGATTGTACAGACCTGAGAGTCACGGAGCCTTTGGACCAAAGGTGTACCTTTGGAATGCAATGGACATCCGCACTGCCGAGGTCAAAAAGAACAGCTGCTTGGATTCGCTGACCGAAGACATCTTCGAGCAACTGGATCAGCTGGACGAGGGTGCCGAGAACTTTGCGTCGTTTCTTGTCGTTGCATTGGGACTGGAAAAGTGATCGTCCCTATATGTCCCTAATGCAGCAAGAGACTTCCTTGAATTCTACAAGGTTTAGGCTGCCTAAGATCGCTGGAACTTGTTTGACTTCTTTCCTAGGAATCGCCACATCCTTGCAGATGATTTGATGTGTATAAAACAGTTTGCCCATATTCACCCTCCGCTTTGACGTGAGGAGCTTCCGCTTTGTGGGAGACATGGCTGCAGAGCGAGTGCTACTGGCTGCGCGCCAGGCAGAAATGAAAATTAAGGACCGATTTGGCCTAAGTTAATTAACACTTGAGCTTCCAGTTGGTTACATCACTTCCCTTTGGACATGGGAAGCTCTGCGAAACATTTTTTCTGTCTACAAGCAGCAACTATGACTTGTGCATACGTTTGCTACAACTTGGTTGATTGGCGAGGAACGCCAAATGGCCATGGCTAACAGTTTGAAATCCTTCTTACACAGCGTCAATTACAGTACCCGGTGGCACGCGTCTTATATGCACAGATCTCTTCGCATAGGAGAAACGTCCGAAGTTTCCTGCTATGGCTCTGTGCCCGTCTCTGGGTGCAACCTTGTCTGGTGGTGGTTTTCGCCACGCAGAGGCGGGCAGATCGCAAAGAAAACTGTGTTTTGCCGTATTTGCGGCGATGTCCGGTAATTTCCTGTGATTTACATGGGTTGGAACCGTTTTGTGGAAGCTACCAGTCACATCCAGTCACATCATTCTCGACGATTTGAAGGTGCCTGGGGGTCCTGGCTTGAGCATTCTTCGACAAAGCTTTCATAGTTTCCAGGTCTTGGTGCTACTTTACCCGTGGAGCAAAATTGCTTCGGCCTCTTGGATTTGTCAGTTTGCGCAGTTTGGGCAGTTTTTTTTTACAAAGCTCCGTGCACATTCCACACAGACCGGACAAGGAGACACAATGAGACATAAACAACTTATTGCTGGGTAGCTAGCAGCAGCCAAGATTATCAGATTGATAGCCGTCCTATTCCATTGTGCAGGATCACGGAAGGTGAAGGTTGTGCAAACAAAGCTAACCAAATGTAATGCAACCAATGTTACTTCGCTAGCAGTGCATGTTCCTTCAGGCCGCTTGCTGCAAGATCCACAGACCCGCCGTGTCTCGTAGAAACATCCACTGAGGAGATACCTGGTCTTCCTTCAGTTCGGCCACGGCATTCCAGAGAGTTTATGGAGAGACAAGACATGCTGCCCTCTTGAGACAAAAAAGCAACCACTGTTTAGAAATGCACTCAAGGAGAAGCAGTAGGTATGAGTAGTTTCTATGATTCTGATGCCTTGCTGGATTCTCTATCCTCGTCCTGCTGTCTATGGGCTGTCACCGTATGTTTTTTTCCTATTTGCCAAGCCAAAAGGAAATCCATGGGGAAGGCCAAACACGTGAATGCAACTTTGATGAAAGTCCTGTCTTGAAAGGATTTGGCACCTCTCATGTCAGCTGTGCCTCTGAGGCTTCTATCGGGCTGGGCATATTGTAACCAGTCCATGTGCCATTGCTGCGCAGTACCTGAGGCGGGTGTGTTTCGACTCTGGGCACTGCTGGAAAGGATACAGTAATATTGGATTCATTCACTCAAACATATTTTGGTTTCAGGCAGTTGCATTCGGCTCACAAGACCACATCCCCTTCACTGCTTTCTTATCTTTCCTTTTTGACTCTTGGATATCCCTTGTTGACCATTTGTGATGCTTCATAACTAAGGACATGGGTTCTGAAATTACGAACAAACATGCTTTGCCCGTCTTTAGCCATTCTTCTCCGCTTGTGCACTGTTTCAGAAAAAAAACAGTTGCTTTGGGTCTCTTCTCGCTTGTTCCCTCACATTCTTGGTTCCACATCGTTTTGTTCCTACCGACTGGCTGAACTATATATATTACGAAAGCCAGCTAGCTGGCTAGTTGCTGTTTGCGAACGAAGTGAGAATAGGGGGTGTGGGGGGGGTGGTTGCCGAAAGGGAACGAAATCTCGCCGTGCCCCTGTGTTGAGCGCCAGAAAACGGAGCATTTTGCTGGATTATGTACCACTAGGTAATTTGCTGACGGTGGGGTATCGATTCCCCCTAGGTCCGCCTTTTTGGTGGCCGGAGAGACCATGAGGATGTATTGGAAAATACAATGAAACTGCAGGAAAACATGATAACGATCAGAGGAAATGGTACAAAATCCCCTGGAAAACGGACGAAAACGGAGCGAATGCTAGGAACAAACCATGGAAAATCCCTTGGAAAATGGAGGAAACCGGAGCGAATGCTAGGCGCAAACCATGACGATGCAGTAAACATGCTGGAAAAATACAGTGAAAGTGCAGGAAAATGTGATAACAACGAGAGGAAAGGGTGCAAAAAGGATCGGAAAATGAAGGAGTCAGGTAAAACTCTTGGATTAATATTAATATTGAAAAGGTATGAAAATGCAGGAAACCAGAGGAAATGGTGCAAACACCTATGGGGGAAAGAGGTGAAAATGATAGGACACATGTAGTAAAAAAATGCTGGACAAAACATATTGAAAACCCACGAAGAGGATGTATTGGAAAATACAATAAAACTTGAGGAAAACATGATAACGATCAGAGGAAAATGCTAGGAACAAACCATGCAAAATCTGTTGGAACATGGAGGAAACCGGAGTGACTGCTAGGAACAAACTATGACGATGCAGTAAACATGTTGGAAAAAGACAGTGAAAGTGCAGGAAAATGCGATAACAACCAGAGGAAATGGTGCAAAAACGATCGGAAAAATCAAGGAGACGGGTAAAACTCTTGGAAAAATACATTGAAAATGCAGCAAACCAGAGGAAATGGTGCAAAAAGGAGACGGGTAAAAATCTTGGAAACATAGATTAAAAATGCATGAATAGACTGAAAACCCACGAAGAGGATATAGAAACTGCAGGAAAACATGATAACAATCAGAGGAAATCGTGCAAAATCCACTGGAAAATGCTGGAAAGATACAGTGAAGGAAAATGTGATAACAACCTGGCAGGAAAATGTGATAACAACCAGAATAAAGGGTGCAAAATCTGTTGGAACATGGAGGAAACCGGAGCGACTGCTAGGAACAAACTATGACGATGCAGTAAACATGCTGGAAAAATACAGTGAAAGTGCAGGAAAATGCGATAACAACCAGAGGAAATGGTGCAAAAACGATCGGAAACTGAAGGAGACGGGTAAAACTCTTGGAAAAATATATTGAAAATGCATGAAATGCAGGAAACGAGAGGAAATGGTACAAAAAGCCATAGAGGAAAGCGGTGAAAATGGTAGGAAGCATGTAATAAAAAAAGCTGGACAAAACACAGTGAAAACCTACAAAAGAGAAGAAAGTAACCACAGGAAACGGTAGAAAAAACAGTGGAAACTGGAAGAAAAGTTGTGACAATATTAGGAAAACGGTGTACAAGCTAGGAAATGCTTGTAACAACTAGAGGAAACGATGTAGAAAACAGTACAACATGGAGGACACGCGTGAACATGCTAGGAGGCATGTAACATGTTAGAAAAATACAGTGAAAACCTAGGAACATGTTATAACTAAAAATGCTTTAAAAATATAGTGAAAACCAAGACAATGTTAACGAGCGGAAACGTTGAGCAGGAAATCCGATTTGGTTTCTGTAGATAATGTTAGATGATGAGCAATGTAGTTTGGTGATAGGAAATAGTGGCTGACTCGCGTACAAGACATTGCCATGAAACCTTGGAGCAAGATGCGGATGGTATAGGTTACGAAAGCCAGCTAGCTGGCTAGTTGCTGTTTGCGAACGAAGTGAGAATAGGGGGTGTGGGGGGGGTGGTTGCCGAAAGGGAACGAAATCTCGCCGTGCCCCTGTGTTGAGCGCCAGAAAACGGAGCATTTTGCTGGATTATGTACCACTAGGTAATTTGCTGACGGTGGGGTATCGATTCCCCCTAGGTCCGCCTTTTTGGTGGCCGGAGAGACCATGAGGATGTATTGGAAAATACAATGAAACTGCAGGAAAACATGATAACGATCAGAGGAAATGGTACAAAATCCCCTGGAAAACGGACGAAAACGGAGCGAATGCTAGGAACAAACCATGGAAAATCCCTTGGAAAATGGAGGAAACCGGAGCGAATGCTAGGCGCAAACCATGACGATGCAGTAAACATGCTGGAAAAATACAGTGAAAGTGCAGGAAAATGTGATAACAACGAGAGGAAAGGGTGCAAAAAGGATCGGAAAATGAAGGAGTCAGGTAAAACTCTTGGATTAATATTAATATTGAAAAGGTATGAAAATGCAGGAAACCAGAGGAAATGGTGCAAACACCTATGGGGGAAAGAGGTGAAAATGATAGGACACATGTAGTAAAAAATGCTGGACAAAACATATTGAAAACCCACGAAGAGGATGTATTGGAAAATACAATAAAACTTGAGGAAAACATGATAACGATCAGAGGAAAATGCTAGGAACAAACCATGCAAAATCTGTTGGAACATGGAGGAAACCGGAGTGACTGCTAGGAACAAACTATGACGATGCAGTAAACATGTTGGAAAAAGACAGTGAAAGTGCAGGAAAATGCGATAACAACCAGAGGAAATGGTGCAAAAACAATCGGAAAAATCAAGGAGACGGGTAAAACTCTTGGACAAATACATTGAAAATGCAGCAAACCAGAGGAAATGGTGCAAAAAGGAGACGGGTAAAAATCTTGGAAACATAGATTAAAAATGCATGAATAGACTGAAAACCCACGAAGGGGATATAGAAACTGCAGGAAAACATGATAACAATCAGAGGAAATCGTGCAAAATCCACTGGAAAATGCTGGAAAGATACAGTGAAGGAAAATGTGATAACAACCTGGCAGGAAAATGTGATAACAACCAGAATAAAGGGTGCAAAATCTGTTGGAACATGGAGGAAACCGGAGCGACTGCTAGGAACAAACTATGACGATGCAGTAAACATGCTGGAAAAATACAGTGAAAGTGCAGGAAAATGCGATAACAACCAGAGGAAATGGTGCAAAAACGATCGGAAACTGAAGGAGACGGGTAAAACTCTTGGAAAAATATATTGAAAATGCATGAAATGCAGGAAACGAGAGGAAATGGTACAAAAAAACATAGAGGAAAGCGGTGAAAATGGTAGGAAGCATGTAATAAAAAAAGCTGGACAAAACACAGTGAAAACCTACAAAAGAGAAGAAAGTAACCACAGGAAACGGTAGAAAAAGCAGTGGAAACTGGAAGAAAAGTTGTGACAATATTAGGAAAACGGTGTACAAGCTAGGAAATGCTTGTAACAACTAGAGGAAACGATGTAGAAAACAGTACAACATGGAGGACACGCGTGAACATGCTAGGAGGCATGTAACATGTTAGAAAAATACAGTGAAAACCTAGGAAAATGTTATAACTAAAAATGCTTTAAAAATATAGTGAAAACCAAGACAATGTTAACGAGCGGAAACGTTGAGCAGGAAATCCGATTTGGTTTCTGTAGATAATGTTAGATGATGAGCAATGTAGTTTGGTGATAGGAAATAGTGGCTGACTCGCGTACAAGACATTGCCATGAAACCTTGGAGCAAGATGCGGATGGTATAGGAAAAAAGATGTATGAGTTGTAAGATTTTAGGAGTTGCATGGGAAAATTGGTTTCATGGTAATCTGTGTGAAGTTAGAAAAGCGTGATTTCGTTCACAGAGTAAGAAAAATAAATACAATCTGCAGATTAGAGTATTTATAATGCTTAAAGCTGTTTGGCGTTTTTTGGTGCCTCCCTGATTCTGGTAGTTTTGTGATAAGAACTACAAAAACGATCTACTGGTAAACGGAAGGAATAGTCTTTCCGGTTTAGAACTGAGTCGACTGTCAAGTGATGCATAGGCTCCAGGCCTCAGGTTATTGTCACAAAGCATTGGAATGAAGATTGCGCCCAGGAGCCACCTAGGTTAGGAGACAAATGCTGTAATATCATTGTAAGAGGCCGTACTGAGAAGGCGGAAACAGAACTAAAAGTGAATCTTGTACTAAAACATTGAGAAAGAATTTGAATCTTCTAATGGCAATGACGGGAATGATATGCATCTGTACGTCCGTGATAGTATGTGTGCCTTTTAAAAGGGATGTTTGGCGAGTGTGATAGCTGAGAAGATTTTCCGGGATGCCAAACAATTATCTCTATCGATGTCAGGGATGATGCTATTCCGCGACATTTCCTGTAAAATACCTATTTTCCAGACCCTTGGGGGGTGGGGGGGGGTACCCAGGTCTGTAAATGGCCTAAATATATATACTTTTGATTTGGACTGCATGTTCGCCACTGTTCTATATTTCCCGTGGGTTTTGCATTGTTTTCCTCGATTTTCATTCGTTCTTATACCCTTTCTTACGTATGTTATAATATTGTCTTGGGTTTGCACTGCCCATTTTGCGAGTAGAGCTATGTTTTGATTTCTCACCGTACGGCCAAAATGTTGCGGAACTTCGCGGAGAAGCATGGACCACGATTCTGGGGAGAAAACAATTTAGACTGTGAGAGGTCACATGACCACTGTTCACACAAAAAAGCGGGTATTATTTATCTACAATAGGTGGGAGCAAACTTGCGCTGTTTTAAGATAAATGAGCAACCAAAGGCGGATTTACGGAATTTGAGATAGAACTTTTCACAATGCCGCAGTACATTGTAGGAAACATATTTGGATATAGAAGTTACAAAATCGTGGAGTTTACCCTAAAAAGGTCCATTTAATGATTGGAAAATTATGACCCGATAGCAATTGTTGATGTTGGGGCGCTTCATGTTTGAGCCATGCCATATGGATGAGGTGGAGTTTCACGCGCCCCCACGCGAGTCAAAAAGCAAGCGCTGGCTTTCGTTCCACCCCTTCTCAGGTAAGTATATATGTATGTATATAGTCTATTATGTGAATATAGCATAAAAGAGAGCGATAATGAAGATTAACGGGTATATCAGCACTCATCCCAACGGAACTCAAATCATAGCCATCACGTTGTAGAATCACAGCTGTTAAACATCTACCCTTTACAGACTTTACAGTGTAATTTGACATGCGTAGGTCATATTTCTTTGGTTATCAAGTTATCCCTATGGATTCTCAATAGCTGATATTCTGATAGCCACAATCCTGTCTTCAATGGCCCACCATCGGCAAGGACCTGGTTTGCAGTTGACTTGGGTGTCGGACGCCCCAGCTGCCCCAGCTGTCAATTTCCAGCTGAACGTCCAGCTGAATTTCCAGCTCTCTGAGGTCCTGGCCCTGGATTGGTTTTTCATTTTCTTAGATCTGACAATGAGCAATGTGGAGGAAGACACAGACGCAGCCCTGCCGCCTTGTTTGTGGCCACGCTATGGCTATGTTTTTCATCATTGCTTGCACATTGCCAGGCGGGAAACAACTACTTTAGTCGTGGCCTCAACTGCCGGGAGGAATAACCCACCACGGGCCTCCAGATGAGTAGATGACCCACTTTTGCCAGAACCAAGATGTGCCAAATCCAAGAACTGTAACTCGCCACCAAGGAATCGCCAGAATGCACGCAACTGAGAAGGGCTCTGGCAGTGGGGTCAGGTTCTATCGTACCGAGCAGCGATAACATGCCACGACCTAGGCATCCAAGTAAATCTCTTTGAGCATCTTTGAGCTGCATCACTATCAGTTTTCGGATTTTTGTTTTCAAAGCATTACATAGATGGCCTATGATTCGGCTATGATTCGGCTATGATGTGTGCTTGTGGCAGAGGTCGCGAGGCTTGAAGGTCCTTCGCATTCTTCGACTCGTTCGATTAGCCAAGCTGTTGGGCGCCCAGGGCAGAACTTTGACAAACATCAAGCAGAATAGAAACAAGATGCCAAGATATAATAAGATACAAGAAGAAAATCAACTCGACATAACTAGCCCAAGTTCAAACATCCTGAAATCTCACTTTCCACATCTTACTGAGCTTGTAAACACATTTGTCTCATTTGTCAGACTGACAAGTTGCTAGGATTTAGAATGGCGGGCTTGTCGATGGAAGCAGTGTGGCAGAACAACTCCTGTTGCGCACTCTCTTCAGATGTTCGAGCGTTCAATGGATCAGTGGATCGCACCACCATCTCTTCGGTCAAAACTCAATTGGATCTTGCCAGCCTCACCTGTGTGGAATGGAATCAGCAGTTTCAGATGTTTCAGGTTTCCCAAATTCCACTCGGTTCAGACCTCAGTTCTGGATTCTGGCAAGTATTGGCCATGTGACGACAATTTGCAAGTCCACTGAATCCACTTCTTATGACAGTCGAAACGACAGTTTGCTTGAAGGAACAAACGATTGGCCGATGCCGTTTCTGGTTCAAAGAGCTCACAGATGAGCAGTGTTTGCGCCAAGTGTCGACACTCGGACCGTCTGAGTGGAGACACTTGGCGTATCGCGTGCAGCGCCTGGGAGGTGCTGGTCCGTGAGCTCACAAACAAGTGGGCAGGGCCGTGCGGGCGCTGCGGTCGCTAGGTGCTGGGGTCTCCCTCGCACCGGCGGCTGCGGCACCTGCACTCCCGCGCACCCCGGCACGGGGAACTGGAAGTGCTGGCGACAAGCCGGGCACTCCAGGCCTGGCAGCCAAGTCGGCGGCCAAGCCCAAGGGCCCCACAGGTGACTCCGACGAGTACACCTACGAGACGGTGACCGAGCAGGAAGAGGAGGCTGAGGAGAAGCTTCCAGAGGAGGACAATCGCCCGAGCTGCCGAGGAGGAGTCACAAGAGGAGCCCTTCGAAGGGACGGGCAGTGAAAGAGGAGGAAAGGAGTGAGGACCGAAGGCGTGACAGAGCAGAGGAGGAAAGAAGAAGTGAAAAGAAGAGGGACAGAGAAGAGAAGGACAGGGAAGAGCGAGTCCCGGAAGAGAAAAAGAAGAAGGATAAGAAAAAGAAAGAGAAAAAGAAAGGAGGAAAGAAAGTAAGACGAGGAAGCAGGAAGCACAAAAGACTGGCAAGGCTGGCTGAGAACTCTTACAAGGATGTTCACCGAACACTGCCCGACAACATCCTGAACGAGAGGCCCAGGTTGGAGTCAGGTAGAGACAAGAGGAGCCATTAGGATGGCAGAAAAAGAAGCACCCAGAGGGTGTTTGGCAGGAGAATGGCTGAAGAACGAGGATGCAGACCGGTGGAGCGGCTTTTGTCCTCGCATTGTGGACGTTGTGGAGTACGACACGGCCCTCGTAGAGGAGGCTGTGGGAACTTCCACACAGGCCGCACTACTGGTTACGTCTACAGAGAAGGAGGACGACCAGACTTTATACATCTACGGAAGGCATGTAGGCTGCAGTTCAGGGAAGATGGACAAAGTGCTGAGCAACCGCATCAATCGTCGTGGAAGCCCTCTTCACTTGTGCTGGGGCGGCCCGTGCATGAGTGGAGAGGAGCGCCAAGCCATCCATGTGGTGGCGATGCGGTGGTTCGAGCGCACAGCCTTCCACGCAGCCTACATGAAGGCCTGGGGGCGCATGGTGCTCAAGGAGTTTGGGGAGCTCGACAAAGAGGAAGCAGAAGAAGAAGAATAAGAAGAAGAAAAGAAAAAGCCTCTCAAGAAACCTGGACGAGGCAAAGGACCAGGTGGAAGAGGAGAGAAGCCCCGTGGGGGCCGAAAGCGACCTGCAGTGGCCAAGAGTGGGGCAGCCCCCAAAGATCACAGAGATCGGCTGCGAGAGAAGCTTCGGGCCCTCACTCAAGGCGAAGTTAATAGAGGGGAAGGCAGAAGCAAAGGCCGTAGAGGTCATGAGGGCTTCAGACGAGACCGAAGATGCAGAAGAGGAGGAGGAGAACTCAGAGGAGCCAGAGCCCCGACTGGGAGTTGGCGACAAGTTGAAAGGAAAGGCAACTCAGCTGGCCCTAGGAGACGTCAAAGGAGAGGAGGAAGAGGCTTCAGAGAAAGAAGAAAAGAAGAAGAAGAAGAAAGTGAAGAGAAAGAAGAGGAAGCAAGACCCGCAGGCTCAGTTGCTGGCTCAGGCCGTGCAAGCTTGAGCCGCGCGGGAGGCAGAGGACAAGGAGAAGACGGAGGATCGAAAAAGGTAAGGGCGTTGGTGAAGCTCCTTACTATAGAGAAGCTTCGAAAGGAGAAAAGAAATCGAAGAAGAAGAGAGGACGCAAAAGGAAGAGGATTGGTCATGGAGGAGGAGACAGCCCGAGCTCTTCAGACAGCGACGGACCGCGGAGGAGTAGCCCACACCGGAAGGAGTCGGAGTCCAGCTCAACAGAGCTGCTGGCTCCGTTGCAGAAACGGTCCAGCAAGAAGCCGGGGGCGGTGCTGAAGATGCTGGTGGACCATGCCAAGACGACCCTGGATCAGTCATCTGTGGTCGAGACGGAGAAGGACCAACAGGTGACCGGTGGGATCAAGATCTCCACATATTTCAACCTGCTTGTCCGGCCTTACCACAGCCCGGCGAGCAGGGTTATGAAGGAGATGAACCACGTAGCCGTCTGCCTCGACGAGCTAAGGTCGGGTCAGCTGGGGAGACTTGGGGACAGTTTGTCCTCGAGGCGCAAGGGGGCTCCGACATCGCTGTTGGAAGCGAAACGCCACGGGCGCCTTGTGCAGAAGAGTCAGGGGAAGGAGCCCTGGCGTCCGAAGGGCGAAGGGGACCCATGGAGGAGCAGCGGAAAAGGAGGCGATGGCAGCTACCTTAAGGCTCCTCTTAGCTTATTAATAGACTCTAGAGTCTATAATAGACTTTAAGGTTATTATAGCCTTAAAAAGCTGTTTTAGGCTATTTTAACCTTGGACATGATAACCTAGAAAAAGGCTATTTTCTTGATCATTTTTTTGATTGCTGTTGTTGAAACAAGTTACAATCATGTTGTTTTTGTTTGACGAATATATGTTTTATCTTGTTTTGTATTGCAAAATCAAAATTTTGACTTGGACATGGACATAAACATGGTCAAGATGTCAGCGCCAAGAATAGAACATTTGATGTTTACAAAAAGAACACATGTAATGGAAATGGCAATACATGGATAATATGGACATGGGGCATGGACAACATTTTCTTCAAAATTTTCATTTTAGAAATGGAAAAACTAAATATAATAACATTGAATACGAAGATGACATGGACATTTGCATGACAATGGATACAAATTCGCAGAGACAACATGCACCAGGTGACAAGAACAGGTCGTTTTTTCTTTTTCAGCCACGAAAGTCAGCTGGGATCTCTGGTGGGAAAGGATCGCCATCAGTTTCACTGATAGGGTCGCAAAACCAATCCCGGCCGGTTCTCACCTCTTCGGTTTGTGTCCCAATGCTTCGCAGCTGCTTGAGTGGCTTGACCAGCTCAGAAGCCTGCGTGGCAGCATTCTCTCGTCCGGTTTCGGAAATGGATGCCGCAAGAGAACTCTTATGCAGATGCACCAAGAGTTCAGACTGATTGATTGTAACCAATTCTGGCAAGTCAAGCAGGTCGTCGTCACTCAAAGGCGTTGAAGAAGAAGTAGGAAGCTGCATTGCGTGAACGCAGAAGGATCCGTTGGGGTCATGCATTGGTGCCAAATGGCTGCCGCACGCAACCTGACACCGAGTTCTTTTAACAAGACATGCATAAGAAGTGAAAACGTGAGAAATAATAGACAGTGCAACGACAACAGAAACGAAAAAGAGGAACGGACACGATCGCTTTTTGATTCTGGCAATGTGACAGCACCGTGCACTGGTCCAATATATAGATCGACAATTAATGGAAAGAAACATGGAAATAAAGAATGCATGGGATTTACACTGTGGGACACGAAATGAAAATAAAGAATTTGCATCATTTTTCACCTCAATCGCCAAGCGTCGTCCATCTCGGACATCGCCACATTGTAGCGCTCGATGAAACGTACCATGCTTTGTTACAGACCTCGGCCTTTCAGACAAGAGATCATCAAGACTTTACACGTGTGCACGTACGTTTCACCACTATAGCACCATGTTCTTCTCGGGTGAATCCATTTTGCCGAGCAAGGACAGGAAAGAGTTGGCCAACGCTTTGAAAAGACTGCGACCAGTGTTGCCGAACGGTGTTTTGGTGCAGCAGCTTGTCCAAAGCGCAGCCATCAAAATATGTTGATTGATTGGCAAGTAAGCTTCGGAAAGACACGAAGAGACAACTCTTGCTTCCCGAGCCAAGCTGCTGCGTAACCGCTGCTCCATCGCCGTGCAACACCAGAGGAATACATCTGCTATGATATCCAGCTATCCTGCATTGCGACATCACCCTGTGAAAAAGATCCTTTTCACAGGGTGATGTCGCAATGCAGGATGGTCACCACATTGCGACCAAAACGTTGATATCTCTTTCGGGTCATGTATGATGTATTTTGGAAACAACCCTTTGTCCCAGAAGCATTGCCACATGTTCGCAGGCAAAAACAGCGGAACTCGCCAGTTCGCCGTGCCGCCCAAAGAAGACTTTGAAAATCGTATTCGCAAAGGGATCGTCGGCTTTGATACCTGGGCGGTAAAAACATGGAAATATGATCGGACCTAAGACACGGAAAACATAAAAATGGAAAATGGAAACATCAATTGGATAAAGAATTCCCACACACGAACATTGCTCTTTATGAGCAATTGACGAACAAGTGGCAGATTGCCAATAAGCGCAATTGGTTACGAACAAGTGACCCATTCACATATTGCCAATTGGTCACTTGTTCGTAACGAACATCAATTGGACACGGCCGAAAGATTGCCCCAGCGCCAAAGCTCTAAGAGTAAAGCAGCAAGCTTTGTTTGCAAAAAAATCTCTTTCAAATGCGGCAGATCGTTTCGAAGCACCACGGTGACGGAAATGGTCGGCATGGGTCGACATATTCTTAACTTTCGCCAAATTGTTGGTGCTGTCGTTTCTGTTCTTAATGTAAACCCAGTGACCTGGAAGAATTGGTTTGACATACATGGAAATGTTCATGCTTTAAAATCATTCAAGGTGGACAATTCCACTTTGCTTCGCATTTGCTTCATATTTATTTTTCGTTGTTTGAGCACAACATATTAAACATGTTGTTCTTTGGAGACAGCAGTGACAGGTAGAAATGCAAGATGTTGATGGTGGAAAATGTTTTGATTGTCAAATTTTAGATCATGTTTTCAAAGAAACAAAAGCTATTAAACTACATCAACAAAAAATGACAATAGACATGGAAATGGAAACTATAACGTGCATAAGGAACATTGAAATAATCGACATGAAAACATACATGGAAATGAAAACAGACATGGTCAAGACAAGGACATGCTGCGACCATTTTCCCACCAGGCTTCAAGGTCACAGGACTGTCTCATCTCTAGGTCTAGGTTTCATAACTCTCATCAGGAAGTCGAAGCCGCCTGGCCAAGAAGGAAACAGATTGATAAACATTGTGTGTTTTGCTTGGTGTCAATTTCGTAATTGATTTCCATCTTCATGTCCATTTCACTGTTTATGTCAATGTTTTTTTTTCCATGTCCATGTTCATTTCACTGCTTATGTCCATGTTTATGTACATGTGATTGTTCTGTCCATCTCCGTGTCCATGTCCATGTCCATGTCATTGTTGAAGCCCTTGTTCATGTCATGTATTTGCTGGTGTATTTTTGGGTTTGAAAATTGCAAAGATGAAAAACGATTACATGGTCTATGTTTTATATTTTCCAGTATTGTGTCAATGATTTGTAATATTTTGGAATAATTTTTCAGAAAACTTGAGTTTGTTCCTAAATTTTTGAAAAATCTAAACAATTGGAATGTGGCCTTCAGAGTTTCTTCAAAGTTTGTTCCAAACTTGGGATGGAGCCTTCAGAGTTTCTTCAAAGTTTCTTACAAACTTGGAATGAAACCCTCAGAGTTTCTTCAAAGTTTGTTCCAAACTTGGAATGGAGCATTCAAATTTTGTTCCATTCTTTGAATGTTCCATTCCAAGTTTGTTACAAACTTTGAATGGAGCATTCAAAGTATGGAGCATTCAAAGTTTGTTACAAACTTTGAATGCTCCATTCCAAGTTTGTTCCAAACTTTGAATGCCTCATTCCAAGCTTGGAACAAACTTTGAAGAAACTCTGAAGGCTTCACTCCAAGTTTGGAACAGACTTTGAAGAAACTCTGAAGGCATCATTCCAAGTTTGTAAGAAACTTTGAAGAAACCCTGAAGGCTTCATTCCAAGTTTGTAAGAAATTTTGAAGAAACTCTGAGGGTTTCATTCCAAGTTTGTAAGAAACTTTGAAGAAACTCTGAAGGCTCCATGCCAAGTTTCGAACAAACTTTGTTGAAACTCTTAAGGCCACAGTTCATTTTTTTAAGAAAGCGCAAAGAAACTTATAGTGCCGGACAATCACTTAGAACGTCATTTTTTCCAAAATTTCGGACTCTCACACTTAGAACATTAGGGACCCCCCACACTTAGAACTTAGAACATGGTTGACACTACTGACCCAAAACAGTTAGAACATCTGGAAATGGATGTTCTAAGTGTGGGGCTCCTTGCAACTAACCCTGGCTCCCCACACATAACATCACAAACAAAGAGTTCGGTCACGTTTATTTTTCTGTCTGCGCCCAATCAACATGATAGCCAATCAAAATATAGTTATGTCAATAGATCATAATAGAAATATATATATATACATGTTGTAATGCATTGGAGTGTTCTAAGGGCGGGGGTCTCCACAGCTGATTGATAACTTTGGGTTCATATAAATAGAGTTATGTCAATAGATCGTTAAAGATGTGTATATATATAAGATATAATATGTATATGTGTGTGTTGTAATGCCTCGGGATGTTCTAAGTGTGGTAGTCTCCTCAGCTGATTGATCACTGTGTGTTCATATAAATATAGTTATGCCAAAAGATCATAATATATATATATATATGATTATGTATGTTGTAATGTCTTGGGATGTTCTAAGTGTGGGGGTCTCCACAGCTGATTGATAACTTTGTGTTCATATGAATATAGTTGTGTCAATAGATCACTATATATATATATTGTATGAAAATGCCTTGGGATGCTCTAAGTGTGGGGGTCTCCACAGCTGATTGATAACGTTGTGTTCACATATAAATATATATATATATAGTTAGGTCAATAGATCATTAAAGGTACATTCAAATATATATGTGTTGTAGTGTCTTGGGATGTTATAATTGTGGGGATCTCAACAGCTGATTGACAACTATTTGTTCATATAAATTTAGTTGTGCCAATAGATCATGATAAATATGTATATATATATGTGTGTGTAATGTCTTGGGATGTTCTAAGTGTGGGGGTCTCCACAGCTGATTGATAACTTTGTGTCCAAATAAATATAGTTAAACAGTTATGTCAATAGATCATGATTAATTAATAAATATATATTGAAATAAATATATATATATATATATAATATATATATATATGCGTGTAATGTCTTGGGATGTTCTAAGTGTGGGGGTCTCCACAGCTGATTGATAACTTTGCGACTTTGTGTTCAAATCAATATAGTTATGTCAATAGATCATTATATATATATATATGTTGTAATGTTTTGGGATGTTCTAAGTGTGGGCGTCTCCACAGCTGATTGATAGCTTTGTGTTCATATAAATGTAGTTATGTCAATAGACCAATATAGAAATATAAGCTTCTCCGCTTACATAGAATATGATTTTTTAGATTGCACA